CTGAGTCAGCCCGGGAAGAAGTAGGGGTAATGCCACACTCCGGACAAATTGGAACTTTTGAAATGTGCATTTTCTCCTTTGAAACTCCAAAATTAATTAGAAAAGATAAACACTTTTCGACTCGTGTCTACTAAACTTTATTATTAGCCAAGAATGAAACACTGGGGCAAAATGAAACATGGGGCAAAATGAAACAGTCAAAAAAAAAGACTGCTCGACGTAATTCAAGGAAAAAACTTGTTTTATTAAATATTTTTTTTTATTAACTTCTTTTTATTCTTGGGTGTATTGAGAATAATAATTTTCTATTCAGTAGAATGAAAAATTATTGAGAAGTTTTGACGGGCGGAGATTTTGTCAATGGATTAATTGAAAACAAAATGAAACAGCAAAATCCAACGTCCAGAGCAAGGCCCAGGAGCGACCCAGAGGGGAAAAAAGGAAAATATAATGCTGAATTTCAATCGAATAATCCATTGACAATATTTTCGTACATCAAAACTTCTCAATAATTTTCCATTTTACTAAATGGAAAATTATTATTCCCATCAGTACTCCCAAGAATGAAAAAAACTTAACAAAAAAAAATGAATAAAAAAAGTTTTTTCTGCTTGAATTGCGTTAAACAGTCGTTTTTTGGACGGTTTCATTTCACCCCACTGTTTCCCTCTTGCCTCGCGTTCCACTTTCATCTTAGTGCTAGAAATGACTGAATGACAAATCAAATGAAAAAGGTTTAGCTTGATAAAAATTTTGAATTTCCCCACTCGCCACGTGAGGCGCTCCTCATCCCCACTGCACTCACTCTGCTACCCCCACTGGATTCACTCCGCTACCCCCACTATGCTCATACTAGGACCCCTGTAATTGGAAGAGTTGTAAAACTTTATAATGCTCCTGATTGATTCATGGGAGGAGCTCCGAGCTAAATTACTTGGAAAGCGGGATGCTACATGCCATCCATCGACTTTCCGGACCTCTATATGAGGGAAAGAATTGAATAATTATCAATGCACAAATTGAAAAATTCCGAGACAAACGGGCTCGAACACAAGTGGAGTATGATCCCACATGTTCTGATTGCCGGACAGGTACTCTGCCAATTGAGCTATTGTGGCCTCCTCCATATCTCCGAATTTCAGAACTTGTACACATACCCCACTTGTGTTCGAGCCCGTGTGCCTCCGAATTTTTTAATTTGTGCATTGATAATTATTCAATTATTTCCCTCATATAGAGGTCCGGAAAGTCGATGGATGGCATGTAACATCCCGCTTTCCAAATAATTTATGCCTTAAAATCATCTAAGGTTGACCGAAAATGGCCCGGGGATAATATAAATATCTTCTGGAGTTTATTGGCTTCATTCATGTTAGTGATTGTTGTCTCTCTCAACCACCACAATCACTGCATTGGTGACCCCGACGTGATCTAATTCGAACAGCGTCCCTCAAATGCACTAATTGAATGATTTTCTCTTTTCATTACGTGCATGTCGATTTTTTTCGACTTCGTGTTCAATCATTTCTCAGTGATTTCGGGTATGTAATAGTACTTCAACGATTAAACTTAATGCGATCGAAGTATTTTGGAGACTTCCATAGCGAGGATTCAGTAGTTTTATCGCGGGGTGGAATAACGTTCAGCTTTTTCAAATCTCGAAGCTTCTGGAACATTCCAAGCGTAGGCTAGCAACAGAAGTTCTCGTCTTGCCCTTGCAAGCAGAATAGGTTTGTGTGTGTATGTGTTTTTTGATGTCTATTGGGAGAATGCATTTATGCATTCCCAATTGCGAGAGAGAATCCGAGATTTTTTCCGACAACTGGGGTATGTCGGGCTCTGAACACAAGGACCAATACTGAATAAACTCTAATCAGACAAATTCACTAACTTTTTAATCCCTCGCGGTACTATCCTAAGTATTACTTCACGAGGGAGGTCTTAGCTATTTGCTCTTCCACGTTGTTTCATCTAATGTACGTCCCCCTGTCCCGCTGAGATGTTGGGTGCGGGGAGGAGGTTCCAGTAGATTCCTCGTTCATTCTGCGGCTTTCCATTTGCGTTCCTCATTCCTGAGCTCCTTCATGACTTCTGCCGCGACGTTCCTCATTACGTCCCAGGTTGCCTGCGATGACAGCATAGCTTCCACCATGTCTTCAGGAAAGACTTCCTTTTCAAGAGTCGATTCCCAAATACGTCGGATCTCGCTAAAGCGGGGGCATCTGAAAAATACATGCTCCGCATCTTCCTCGCCCTCGGTGCAGGGTGGGCATTTCGGGGAATCTTCCTGTTTGAATTTATGAAGATACGCCCGGAAGCACTCATGCCCCGAAAGCATTTGCGTCAGATCAGAATTAACTTCACCATGGGTACAGTTTAACCAACCGTTCACCTATGGGATCAGCCAATGAGTCCATCTTCCCTTTGACAAGTTGTGGCACTTCTCCTGCCATTTTTGCAGACTCTTTCGCCTCTCGTCTGCAGTGAGTTCTGCTACGCTCAGTATCCCAGATTTCCTCCGCTAATCCAATGACCTTCGTTCTTCCGCCAAAATTTTTAGGCGGAGCATCCCGGCGATGACGCACACTGCGTCTTCAGATACGATAAGCACTCGTAATCCGCAGAGCACTCAGTTGATAGACTGGAGCAATTCTCCGGCGTGATTCCTGCAACTGCAATGCATCAGCCCAGATGGCAATGCTGTAGGTGAGCACTGACGTGATCACCGACGACAGTAATGCTCTTCTTCTCTGTTTCGGACCTCCTGTGTTGGGCATGAGGCGCAATAGGCTGGATTTGACTCCAGACGCCTTGATACCCAAGTGCTCAGCGTACTGCTTGAAATTTATTCGGACATCGATTATCACCCCCAAGTATCGGATGTACGGCATGGAGGTGATTTCGCAGGACCCACCTGCAGCGTGATTGTTTCAATTTTCCTTCTCCTAGTGATTAGTACGGCATCTGTCTTATGTGCTGCCATTTTCAGTCCCATGGTTCATCTAGCGGCAGATCGTCTCGAAGGTCATATCGGAACTAAGGTTGATCTCCTCCAGGTATTTGCCCACAATAACCACAGCCACATCATCTGCAAATGCCACGCGCTTCGTTTCCCGCGGCAGTTCCAGCTTCAGTAGCCCATCGAACATGATGTTCCACAACAAGGGACCCAATACCGCGCCTTGAGGTACACCTCCGGTGACTCTGTACTCCTCGGGACCGTCCTCCGTGGCGTACTCAAGAACTCTTCCAGTGAAGTAGCTGCCGATCATTTTCCGCAAGTATTCCGGTACATTGAACTTCGCGAGAGATTCCATTATACGGTCCCATCTCGCCGAGTTGAAAGCATTCTTGATGTCCAGTGTCGCTACTAGGCAATACTTCTTCGTGCCATTGAGCCATCTTCTCCCTGAAATCGCGTTCCTGGTGGTGTCGATGACAAGGTTGATAGCATCCAAAATGGATCGGCCTTTCCGGAATCCATATTGGTTGTTCGCCAACAGGGATTCGACTGCTGTTTCTATTCGTTGATGGACAATACGCTCGAGGATTTTGCCAGCGGTATCAAGCATACAGGGTGGACGGTATGAGGGCGGATCGTCCGGTGCTTTTTTCCCTTTCGGAAGCAGTACTAACCTCTAGTGCTTCCACATGGCAGGGAAGGTGCTCGCCCTTAGGCACTCGTTGTATACGTCCAACAACTTCTCCGGCATCGCGTGGATAGCTGCCTTCAGGGCGATATTGGAGATTTCATTCAAGCCAGGCGTCTTGGTGTTACCCACCCTGTTGCAGGCTTCCATCAACTCTTCTGTGGTGATTGGTGGCAACATTATCTCTGCTTCCTATACGTCAGAGTGATAGAGTTCTGGTTGTTGCGGGAACAACACTGTAACGATTTTCTTCAGCAATACAGGGCACGTAGGCGATGGCATTGGTTAACGCTTGAAGCGAGTCATCACCACCTTATATGGTCTACCCCATGGATCGCCTTCCACCTCAGCAAGAAGCTCACTCCAGGCTTGCTTTTGACTATACTTAAGACTTGGCTAAGTTTCCGGCGTGCCTTCTTATACCGCATCTCCAGCTCTTCAAAGTTCGGCTTCTTACGGCCACGCCGGTACAATCTTCTGGCTGCGTTACTCTCTTTCCGTAATATGGCGATCATGTCATTCTACCAATACATCGGTGAATGCTGGTCTGTGGTTCGCTTCCTAGTCGTGGTGGCATCGCAGGCTTTTGTCACTCTTTTTATAAGGTTATGCGCCTTTTTAGTAGCACTGTAACCGCTGATCGGGCGGTCATCTAACGCTGCTGAATAGGAGCTAGGATCAAAAGTGCTCACTCTTCAGCCAATGCAGCTGGTCTTCTTAGGTGCTAAGGCTGTTGTCTGGCCAGTACACGTCGGCCAAAGTAACGCACGGTGGTCGCTTGCAGTTTCAATATCAGATACTCTCCATGAGCAGTTCCTTCTTGCAAGTGTGCTGCTCACAAAGGTGAGGTCCATGATTGAACTTGCCTCTCCTCTCATGAACGTCGGTTCATCGCTGCTGTTCAGCCAAACCACGTTCAACGCTGCCATAGCTTCCAGTACAGCTTGTCCTCTGGGGTTCGTCTCCTTACTTCCCCAATCGACTGCCCAGGCATTGAAGTCCCCGGCTATTGCTACGGGAAAGTGCTGCTTCACATTCTCCGCCAGTCTATCTAGAAAATCGGTGAACTCATCAATCGAGAGGCTCGGTGGAGCGTAGCAGCTGTAGAAATAGATTTCATCATCCTTAGCCCTCGCAAACCATACTCGTTGTTACTCGTGGTGCTCTGGAAAGGTTGGTTCCCATGAGCCCAGATGACAGCTTTCTTGGTGATCTCAGTAACCCAGGGTTGGGCACCAATATGTCTATACGGCTCTGAGATAATGACAAGGTCAAGCTTCAGTTCCCGCAGCGTCTGCATAAGCAGGTCGTGTGCGGCCTCGCAATGGTTGAGGTTGAGTTGCAAGACCTTCATCGTCGTTTGTTAGTGAGCTTCTGGAGCGCCTCCTTGTATGCTGAGCATCTACTGCTACCAGCGACGTGAGCACAATTCTTTACGCTGCCTTTTTCGACGGCCTCATAGCTACCTTCTCCGCACTTAATGCAGAGACTGAACCGGTCCACTTCACTCTTGCACTGGGTGGTGAAACGTCCATAATGCCAGAACTTGAAATATTTGGTTGGTTTCTTCACTACTCTAATTCCGCAGTTTACCCAGCCAATCATGATCTTACCGCGGTCGCTCAGAATGATCTTCACCGTCGACGACGGCAGTGTCACCAATGCAGTTTGAGTCCCCCCATAGGCATTGCGAAGAGACTTGACGGCAGCGAGCAGAATTTTGTATGCTTTTCCCGCCGCTTCTTGCAGGGCTGCGTGAACTTCCTCCTTCATCGTCGTTTCATCGAGATCACGGATCTCGAGGTCTTCTTATGGCCCCTTACCAACAACCTCAGCGTCATCTCCAAGGAGTTCAGCGATGGTTTTTTGGAGTCTATGGCCTCCATCTTTGTTCTCCTTGGTGAGAATGATCAATAGATCTCTAGCAGACGTTCTGCGGATTCTATCGACCGAGATACAGACCTCATCATCCAGGATGTCCTTCTTCCCAAGTCTGAGTATATCATATTTCTGTTCTTCTATTGGCCAGACAATCAGTGCATTGGGCTTGATCACTGATGTGTGGGTATGTGTGTGTGGGTGCCTATGTGTGTCTGTGTTTTTTTTTGTCTGTTGGGAGAATGCATTCACGCACGACCACTTGAGAGAGGGGACAGCAGGATCCCTCCGTCAACTGAGTGTCGGATTCGGACAAAACTGTCAATATCGTCCAAACTCCAGTCAGACATATTTCCACTAACCTTTGATCCCCTCGCGGCATCACTGTGAAGTATTACTTTGCGAGGGAGGTCTCAGCTGTTTGTTCTTCCACGTTTTTTCATCTGATGTACGTCCCCCTAACCCGCTAAGATGTTGTGCGTGATTAGGAGGTTTCAAAAAGATTTCTCACCTATACTGCAGCCTTGCGCTTGCGTTCTTCATTACTGAGCTCCTTCATGACTTCAGCCGCAAAGTTACACGTTGTGGCCCAGGCTTTGATGACAGCCTTGCATCCATCAGGCTCTCAGGTTCGACCTTACTTCCTAGGTCGGACTCCCATGTACTTCGGATCTCATTTAAGCGGGGGCATGTAAAGAATACATGTTCTGTGTCTTCGTCCACTCCTGTGCAAAATAGGCACTCCGGGGAATCTTCATGTTTGTATTTGTGAAGATACCCCCGGGTACACCAGTGTCTTGAAAACATTTGTGACAGATAATAATTGCCCTCTCCATATTTTCGACTTACCCAGATGGCCACCTGTGGGATCAGACGATAAGTCCATCTCCCCTTGGTAGAGGCGTCCCACTTTCGCTGCCATCGTTGTAAGCTTTTACGCCTCTCGTCTGCGCTGAGCTCTGCTGCGCTGTTTCAGAGACCATCTCTCTTCGGCCAATACCTCAGTAGGTAACATTCCGGAAATGACGCATACTGCATCCTCGGATACCGTGCTGTATGCACTCGCTACTCGCAGAGCACTCAGTCGATAGACTAGTGTTATCTTTCGCCGTGAGTCTTGCAGCTGCAGTGCATCAGCCCAGATGGAAATGCCATAGGTGAGCAGTGACGTGACCACCGATGAAAGCAGCGTTCGTCTTCTTTGCTTGGGACCTCCAATCTTGGGCATGAGACGTGATAAGGTGGATCTAACTCGAGACGCCTTGACACCCACGTGCTCCGTTTGCTGTTTAAAATTGATTCGAGCATCGATCATCACCCCCAGGTATCGGATGTACGACTGGGAGGTGATTTCACAGGACCCGACCTGCAGCGAGATTGTCTCTATTTCCTTTCTGCTGGTGATCAGCACAGCCTCTGTCTTGTGTTCCGCCAGTTTCAGGCCCACTGTGTCCATCCAACAGCGGATCGCTGCGAAGGTCATGTGAAAGGACATGTCGAAGGTGTAGTTGATCTCCTAGAAGTATTTCCCCACAATGACGATAGCCGCGTCATCTGCAAATGCCACGAGTTTAGTTTCTCGCGACAATCCCAGTTTCAGCAGCCCGTCATACATGATGTTCCACAATAGGGGACCCAATACTGAGCCTTGGGGTACCCCTTCGGTTTCTCTGTACTCCTCAGGACCACTGTCCGTATCGTACTTGGGGACTCTTCCAGTGAAATAGCTGTCGACCATTCTCCGCAAGTATCCCGGCACATTGAAATTCTCAAGAGCCTCCATGATACGGTCCCACCTGGCCCAGTTGAAAGCATTCTTGATGTCTAGTGTCGCTACTAGGCAATACTTCTTCGTGCCATTTAGCCATCTCTTTCCTGAGATCGCGTCCTTGGCGATGTCGACGATTAGGCTGATCGCATCCAGAGTGGACCGGTCTTTCCGGAACCCATATTGATTGTCCGCTAACAAGGGTTCGACTGCTGTTTCTATGCGTTGATAGTCAATACGCTCGAGGATCTTGCCAGCAGTATCGAGCATGCAGAGCGAACGGTATGATGACGGGTCGTCCGGTGATTTTTTCCCTTTCGGGAGTAGTACCGGTCTCTGCTACTTCTGCATGGCAGGGAAGGAGCCCTCCCTTAGGCACTCGTTATATACGTCCAAAAACATCTCCGGTATCGCGTGGATAGCTGACTTCAGGGCGATATTGGGGATTCCATCCAGACCAGGGGCGTTGGTGTTACCCACCCTATTGCAGGCTTCCATCAATTCTTCCTTGGTGATTGGCGGAATCATCATCTCTTTCCATTGTTCGTCTGTCTGATGAAGTTCTAGTTGTTGCGGGAACAACACCGTGATGATTTTTTTCATCAGCACAGGACACGTTGGTAATGGCAATGGTTGACTATTCAGTCTTGACATCACCACCTTGTATGGTCTACCCCACGTATCGCTTTTCACCTCAGCAAGTAGTTTCCTCCAAGATTGTTTTCTACTGCGCTTGATGACTTTGCTGAGGTTTCGGCGTGCTTCCCTATATCTCGTTTGCAAATCCTCGGAATTCGGCTTCGTGCGGCCACGCTGAGACCGTCTCCTAGCTGCATTACACTCCTTTCGCAGGATGGCGATGTTTCATTCCACCAATACACCGGTGGGTGCCGGTTTGTGGTCCGCTTCCTGGTCATGGTTGCATCGCAAGCTTCCGTCAGCCTTCTCACGACATTTTGTGCCTTTTCAGTGGAATTGCTGCCACTGATCGGGCGATCATCCGAGGCTGCTGAATAGGAGCTAGGATCAAAAGTGCTCATCCTCCAACCAATGCAGTTGGTCTTCTTAGGTGTTAGGGCGGTAATATTTGCCTACCAAAGAATCGTGCAGTGGTCACTTGCAGTCTCAATGTCAGTTCCTCTCCATGAGCCGTTCTCCTTTGCAAGAGTGCTGCTCACGAAAGTAAGATCCACAATCGAGGTCGTATCTCCTCTCATGAAAGTCGGTTCGTCGGAGCTGTTCAGTAAAACTACGTCCAACGCTGCCATTGCTTCCAGTACAGCTGGCCCTTTGGGATTCGTCTCCCTACTTCCCCAGTCAACTGCCCAGGCGTTGAAGTTCCCAGCTATTGCCACGGGAAAGTGCCGCTTTGCATCCTCGGTCAGTTCATCCAGGAAGTCGGTGAATTCGTCCATGGCGAGGCTCGGTGGGGCATAGCAGCTGTAGAAGTAAATTCCGCCAACTTTAACCTTCACAGAGCAATCTTGTATACCCTCGCTGATGATGCTCTGGAATGGCTGATTTCTACAAGCCCAGATTACAGCATTCTTGCTGGCGTCAGGAATCCAACATTGAGTACCAAGATGTCGGTATGGCGCCGACATCGTGACTAGGTCAGGCTTCAGCTCCCGGGCCGTTTGCATGAGCAGGTCGTGTGCAGCTTCTCAATGATTGAGGTTGAGCTGTAGCACCTTCATCGTCGTCTGTTGGTTAACTTCTGTAGCGCCTCCTGATAAACTGGGCACCTCATATTGCTGGTTCAGCCAGCAATATGAGCGCAGTTCTCCGTGTTCCCTTTCTCAGTGCACAAGGGACAATTGGGTTCCTTTTTGCAGACAGCAATGGTGTGGCCCGGCTCAGCGCATTTGACGCAGATTTTGGACCGATCGACCCCACTCTTGCATTTGGTAGCGAAATGGCCATAGTGCCAGCACTTGAAGCACTTTAATGGCCTCTCCACTCTTCTCACTAGGCAATTGACCCAGCCTATTTTAATCTTTCCGTGCTCCCCCAGGATCTTCTTCGCTGTCGTAGCTGTGAGTCTCACGGAGGCAGTCTGGGTACCTCCATAAGCTTTACGAAGGGACTTGACCGCATCCGCTTGGATCTCGTGTTCCTCCTCAGCTGCTACTCTTAGGATTTCGATGACATCCTCCTTCGATGTGGTTTCGTCAATAGCTTTGATCTCGAGATCTTCTCGTGGCCCTTTACTAAGCACCTCAGTCTCATCTCCAAGGAGATTGTCGATGGCCGTACGTAGCTTAGGTGTTCCGTCAGTCGTCGTTCTGCTAAAGATGATCAGCATATCCCCGGTTGCTGTATGGCGGATCTTATCGACACAATCACTAACGTCCTCGGAGGGAACATTCTTCTTCACCCGGCGTAGTAGATCCGAGTACTTCTCCTTGTCCTTGGGGCGTATAATCAGATCGATTTCCTCTCCTGTTTCTTTTTTCCCTTCGTCTTTTTGGGAGGCGGCTGTGAGTGGAGCTATCCGGCCTGCCTCTTTTCTCCTTCTTGTTCTTCTTCACCTGCGTCCATTCAGGCTTAGTAGACGGATCGGAAGATTCCGCAGTCTGCGGGGCTGCCTTGCTGGTCAGATCCTGTTGCTTCAGCTTCTTCAATTTTTGGGCTTCTGCTGCAGGTGAGCCTTTCGAGCGTTTTCTCCGCAGTGCTTTGCGGACATCTCGGGCCGACTGCATGGTATTCGGGTCCTCCAATCCCAGTCCTTTGCCGTCATTTCGGAGTCCGTCCATAAACGCAACGTGGGTGGTGTTGGTGGAGTTTGCACGGGTTTGGTGAAGAAGGGTCGTGCTGTGATGCGTGCCTCCTCCAAACTTTTGAGACGTTTGAATGCGCTGCCGTTAGTTGCTACCTTGCATTTCATCTGCTTGTGGACATTTATCCTGGGCTGGACATACTCATGAAGGTCTGCGATGAGTTTTCCAAGTCGTGCCCATGCATGACAGCATTCCGTCTCCTTTTAGTCTGCGAATCGTCTCTCCTTGTAGCATCCAAGGCCAAGGAGTCCACCTTTAATGAATGTGATGATTGGCTCCTCCCACAATCCGTGGAGCCGGCTTCACCCACCGAAGCTTTCACTCGATCGGAACTAATGGCGGGTTCTCAGGGACACCCGCATGGGAACTTTGTAATTTGTCATCACTAATCATTATTTACTGTAGCCTATTAGGGAGCCCAACCTGCACACCTCTTTTAGAGTTCGGTTTCTCCTCCAATATGTCCTAAGAAAGACAAGCCTCGGCTTCAACTGCTTCTTAGTTTGGGATGCATCCCTAAGGCCCTCCACCAACGACAAGGTCCTGCAGTTCCTAGGAGCGGCGGCTCGGCGGAGTGTGTGTATGTGTGTGTTTTTTTAAATGTTTTTTAATGTTTTTTTTAATTTTTTTTTTGCGGGAGAGAATCCTAGAGATTTTCTCCGACAACTGGGGTATGTCGGACTCGGGTCACAAGGACCAATACCGACCAAACTCCAATCAGACAAATTCACGAATCTTTTACTCCCCTCGCGGCACCACCGTTAAGTATTACTTTGCGAGGGAGGCCTCAGCTGTTTGCTCTTCCACGTTGTTTTCATGTAACATACGTCCTCCTGTCGTGCTCAGATGTTGTGTGCGGGGCGGAGGTTCCATTAGGTTCCTCGTTTATTTGGCAGCTTTTCGCTTGCGTTCTTCATTTCTAAGGGCCTTCATGACTTTCACCACGAAGTAGCTCGTAGCGTCCCTGGCTGCCTGCGATGACAGCATAGCTTCCACCAGATTCTCAGGCACGATTTCCCTTTCGAGGGCTGATTCCAAAGTACGCTGACCCTCACTGCAACGGAGGCATCTGAAAAACACATGCTCCGAATCCTCATCGATTCCCGTGCAGAATGTGAACTCCGGGGAATCCTCATGTTTGAATTTATGAAGATACGCCCGGAAGCACCTATGTCCCGAGAGCATTTGCGTGAGATAATAATTAACCTCATCATGGGTTCGGTTTATCCAATCACCTACCTGTGGAATCGCACAGTGTGTCCATCTCCCTTTGGTAGAGGTGTCCCAGTTGAGCTGCCATTGCTCCAGACTCTTCTGCCTCTCTTCTGCATTGAGTTCTACTGCACTCAGTGCTTTCGATTTCCTCTGCTGGTACAATGGCCGTCGTTCTTCGGCCAATATTTCTATAGGGAGCAACCCGGCGATGACACACACTACGTCCTCCGATACTGTCGGGTACGCACTCGCAACTCGCAGAGTACTCAGCCGATAGACTGGTGCGATCCTACGCCGCGCTGCCTGCAGCTCGAGTACGTCAGCCCAAACGGGAATACCATATGTGAGCACCGACGTAACCACTGAAGACATCAGCGTTCGTCTTCTTAGCTTGGGGCCTCCAATCTTGGGCATGAGACGTGATAAGGTGGATCTAACTCCAGACGCCTTGTCACCCACGTGCTCCGCTTGCTGTTTGAAATTGAGTCGTGCAATGATCATCACGCCCAGGTATCGGATGAACGGCTGAAAGGTGATTTCACAGGACCCGACCTGCAGCGTCATTGTCTCGGTTTTCTTTCTGCTGGTGATCAGCACAGTCTCTGTCTTGTGTTCTGCTAATTTCAGGCCTACTGTATCCATCCAGCTGCAAATCGTCTCGAAGGTTGTGTCAAAATTGAGTTCGATCTCCTCTAGGTATTTGCCCACAATGACTACCGCCACGTCATCTGC